CAGTAGGCTATCGCGCTTTGTAAGATGACGTAAATACTTAAATTCAATTTCGCTAAACTGCGCGAAAATTTAGTAATGTTCCATCGTTTGAGAAAATTTATTTTCTTGGACTTAAATTGAAATATCATGTTGACTGTCTGGCTCTTAATTTCCGAATATCACTTTTAATGTATCAAGATTCAGAACTATAATGTACTTTAATATAAGTGTCATCTTATTGTTTATTGTGTTTTTTATAAAGCGCAGAGCAGCTTCAAAATCGGACGGCCATCCTGTTTTCACCAAGCTTCTTTTGGAGCTTAATATGGGTAATCTAGTTCTATACGGTGAGAGCTTAATACATTTTTTAAAGGGCCGAAAGTCTCAAGACAGCAAGCTTGCAGAAATAACCACTTACGTTTAAATGGACGAGTGATAGATGTGTTAGGGGCTGTTTAATGAACACCAACGTATGTAATCAAATTAAACGTCGCATAAGCGTCAAAAAGGCAGTGCTTGTTGTTTTTTTCTATAAAATTAGCCTAACGGTCGGCGGTACCGATACATGACGTCACGTGCGAGCGTTAACTCGGTGATGATGTGCTAAGTGGGGGAATGAAAAAGGTGGGGTTCAAGAAATGCGACTCAACATGCTTTTTACATTTCTTGACCCTTCTTAATAGTGCTATCGTCCCCACTGAGAAAATGGATCACCAATGAATGACGCGTCTTTCTCCCACAACCATCCCCTGTTTTCACGAAAAAAAAAACCTGACCCGTCTCCAAAATCACATCGCTGAGTTCTACTCAATCTGTCCCCACCACAAATCACAATTTCTATCTGAAACAATATGTTCATATGTTTGTTCTGTAATAATGCACGCTGTCATTACTATCTTACGAGCGACGTCATTTATGAGCGATCTAATATTAATTTGCTTACTGCAAATAAAGTGTTCAAAAGTTCGACCTCCCAACAATTGTTGTGATCTTGGATGCACACTATTAAGTCTGAAAAGGTCTATTAGTCATTCATGTCAACTATATTAAAAAACAAGAAAAATTACTATACAGGGGGTCATCCATAAATGACGTCACGCTTTTTTGACGATTTTTACCTCCCCCCTTCCCTCCGTCACACGTCGTCACAAAAAGCCAGACCCCCCCTAAAATGACGTCACACCTCAGCCTACACCCCCCCCCCTCAACTTTGATTTTTTCAAAATCACAGTTTTCTAAAAACAGTTTTCTAAAACGCAAAATAACGTCTAATATTCGTTTTCTAACATTGCTTTTTTATAATGCAAAAGTGTGACGTCGCACCATCTGAACCCCCCCCCTCCCCCTCATCACACACCGTCACAAAATTACGGACCCCCCCCCCCCCCCCCTTTAAGAGTGTGACGTCATTTATGGACGACCCCCAGGCATATATTAAAACAATACAAAACAATGAAAAACAATTATATTAAACCACAAAATCAACACAAAAGACATGCGAATAGACAATTTTTCCAGGGAAACTACTCTATTATTGTTTATGAAACATGGCCGCTGCTTGTATTTACTCATTGTTGTCTCGAACGGGGTAGTTTAAAGTTTATTCCAGGATATTTCTTACTGGTTAGGTAGGTTTTTCGATTCGGGAAGTCTCGTTCTCGCGGTTTTGAAGCACCCGTGTTTTGGGCGGACATATAAAATATCGAATCTTTTCTTTCTCATGAAGTACATAATAGTTACAAATAAGGATTGTATCGTAATCGGAAAGATTTGTACTCGAAACTTCCCATGTATTTACAGGGCGAATAATTAACATTTTAATAATGGCAGCTTGACCTAATTTCTTCCTTTGTCTTTCACGAGGCCGTCGAGAGAAAGTCACGCTTATTTAGCTTGTGTTTCAAGTCGAATTATTTAAAGCAGGTGCGTTACCCAATAACTTTTTTATTAGACCCAATTTTTATAACATCTTTACTATCAAATAAAACTAGATTTGTTTAATGAAATTAGGCTGAAAACAATACATTTGCTTCTGTAAGTGGCCAACCCTCTTTTTTTTTTAAGACGCCATTTTATAATAATCTAATTGCCGATTCCGGAAGAGGTGAAGGGGTGGGGTTGGCATTGACGGACTGTTAGAGTGAAAAACACTTAACTTGAATGAAAAAAACTTTATTCGCGCTTACAATTTGAAATAAAGTTTTGATAACTTAGCCATTAAGAGACAGATATGTTTTATTTACTTATTTTAAAACTGGATTGTTAATATATCGACAGTTTTTTTTTGTTTATGGTGTGTGACTGAGTGTGTCCTTGACCTTTAAGTGCTGTTCTAGTTAGGAATGCAGGGCAGATGCCTTAGTTAGATGCCAAGAACTCATAATAGTCATCATAATTCTTAGTTAGTTTATTAAATACCACTTCAAACAGTTCTTATATTATTATTACTTGAGTAATTCATACCTTTATTAATAATTTGCTAATTGTTTCTGACAAAATATGATCATGGCACGGGCCGTCTTCAGGAAGGGGGTGGGGCGGGTGGGGGCTTAAAAAATGTCACATAGTACGTTATTTTGTCATTCTTTTGGGAAATTGTGTTTTTTGTCGTGGGGTGGGACTTTGTGAGATTTTTGGTGGTGGTTTTGAGACATTAGTGGTTGGTGAGTGTAATTATGATGTCTTTTATAGATAACGAGCCACCCCGTGGCGTATCATACGCAGCTATTTAGTTGTTTTATTTTCTACTTTTCAGTAATTCATAATTTGTGAATTCGACAGTACCAATGCTGCCATTGAAAATATTTGCTTTAAAACACTAACACCCCTCCCTTTCCCCCAACCCCTACCCCCCCCCCCCCCCCCCCCCCCCCGTGAAAGCAGCCTCCTCTTAGTAACCTCCTGTAAGTTTAAAATCATTTCAAACTAAATTATTTGCCCCTGATAGCCGTCACTAAACCCGTCTACGACTTGTAAACATTAACGTGACTACAGCTCACCAGATCATGTGGGGTTGGGGTGGGGGTGGTAGTGATAGCGACAGAGAGGAAGAGAGGGGATTGTAAGGCGCGTTTGCAGCTTGTTTTCTAACGGCTCGAAGAAGAGAATTATATATATAGATATTCAGTATTATTAAATTTTGTCAATCTTTTTTTTCTCACAAAATGTTAATTATGTCCTATTCTATATTACATTGATTCTGAACATCAGAGTCAGTTTTGCCATTCAATATAATATACACCACAGACATATTTACATTGTCAGATGGCTGAAGTTTACAATTGGAAAATGTGAATTATGTCCTACACCATAACACATTGATTCTGAACATCATAGTCAGAATTTGTCAATACACCACTGACATGTTACATTGTCAGAAGTAATTTGTCTGGCTAAAACCATCAGGAGTTTAAACAATATGAATTGAGATGTATGTTTGGTATTGCAATACAATAAAAATCAATACATCGCACTGATTCTGAACACTAAGTCAATCTAAAGTCAATATTTGTACACTGTTAAAAAAACACAAAACTGGTGGGTCATGTATATTTTTTTATTTTAAATTTTTCAACTTCAATGACAGGTACATTATTTACAATTTTATTGTCTTGCATGTGTAAATGTGTACATATAACATTTGATTTTTAAAGAATTTACTTGTTACTTGTCCTCTGTGTTGTATATATCTTTTTCAAACTTATTGACAAGTACATTAATTACAATTTATTGTCTTGTTTGTGTACATATGTACATACATATTACATAGGCTTATTTGATGATTGTAAAACTAGTTTGTTATTATGCCTGTATGTATTGTGTTGTGTAACTCCGACATAACCTGGTCCCAAATCAAGGATGAAAAAGAGAGAAGGGGACAGTCACAATTGCTTAAATCTAATCTGATATAGTATGTCTTATCTTTAGGCAGACTGTTCTGTGCCTAAAGAAAATATGTAGTCAATTTAGTGTGCTTTAGAACATAGCTTCATTTAAGATTTTTAGTTTCTATAGAAAGGAAACGCCCATTAAATGTCACACATAATTTCATAAAATAGATCCTACTTTAGATCTTCAAATACCGACTCCCATTGTAAACTGCCTAAATAATAAGTGTGCACAGTCTAAGTAATTAAAATAATAAATATGGATGATTTTAAAATTAGAACTATAAGGCTAATTTTTTGTGTTACCAATATCTGCCAACCTTATTCATTAATTTTTTTTTTTAAGTTATTAATCAATCTTGGTTACTTTTAGCTATCTACAATCATTTCTAAGCTATTTTAATATGCTTCTGTTAAGTTTCATTGAAAAATGTTAAAAATTAATCCAGATATCCACTCATGAAATCAGGTCACAGGTCTAGGAGTTTTTTCTTCATTAGCTATGCCACACGGACCCATGACTTTGGAATTTTTTTTCAGTCATAATGACTTTGCACAGAAAGTTTATATATGCTAAATTGACTTAGTTTACCATTGTCCTAGCTATTACTGATACTTTTTTAAAAAAAAATTTTCTTTTTAATTTTTCATCAAACTGCCTACTGGTTAGGACTTGGATTGTGATTTGTTATTCAATTATCTGTTATATTATGTAAAATATGACATAAATATGGCCAAATGAAAGAAATATTCATTAGTTACCTTCATCACACATTACTAGCTACGTTGGAATTTACGACGCTAAACTAAGATTTTACCCTGGAATCTATCTAGTATTTCTAAGAATCTCTAAACTCTAATCTGTCTAGATCTAGACTAGATCTAGACTAGGGATCTAGATCTAGAATCTAGATTTCTAGATCTATTCTAGATAGATAATCTAGACTAGATCTCTAGAGATCTAGATCTAGATCTAGATCTAGAATCTAGATTAGATCTAGATCTAGATTCTAGATCTAGATCTAGATCTAGATCACGGCTGATTGACTTACTTAAAAAATGTCACTTTTGAGCATTAAATAAACATAAATAGATCTAGTGTTGGGTAAAAAAAGCAAACAAATCATAACTAACCTGGATGCAAAAACGTTTAAAGTACATTTACATTATCCTTTCGAACTAGTGTTTTCAAATGTACAACTAAAAACATAATCCATCGCCAATAACAAACACCGCAATTTTCTTTCATGAAGTGGATTGGTAACTCTAAATAGCAGTTGATAACGTTACTCGAGTTAGCCAATCGTAACGCATACCTTTTTCCTTTAGGGGTAGTGCAAGCTTGTAACAGTTCAATTACGACAGCGCATAATAATGATCGATTTAAAATAATTTATGGGCCAAGGATGGAGTCGATTGTCGAATTGTAACTGAGGCTTAAAAAAGGGAGCACCATTTCATCTTATCTCTAGCTATAACCTCTGCCTGTTTGAATGCTAGGCCTCTTTCCGTCATCTCTTTCTCCATTGATCTTCTGGGTGTTTCTTTTTGGTAAACCTCGCTTTCTGAGGTGTCTATCTAAGAGCAGCCATAGCCAGTGATTATTAATTTCTTTCAGACTTGTTTCTATCGGGGGGGGGGGGGGGGAAATTGAAATTTTAGAATTCTCTAACACCAATTACGATAAATTGTCTATATTCATAGGCGTATCCAGTTGGAGTAGAATGGGTGGACATTTTCATTAGCCTACATCATCATGTTTCCTTTGTGTCCCCTGGGGAGTAAAGAGCTGAAGTTACATATCTCCACCGAACTCAGTTTTGGGCTGCTCCCTTTATCTGTGTCCACGTGAGCCCAGCGGTCTTTGCCTTTTCCTCTACCGTTCTTCTCAGTGATCACTTTCCTTTTTCTCTGGGATTCCAGTCCATAGCACTTTTTGCAATATTATGCTCTTCCCTTCTTAGGGTATATCCTAAAAATTCAAATCACTTTTCACATACTGTATAGAAAAAATATTCGCCTGTCAGAAAACAACGTCAGCTTTCAACCGTTACATTCGTCTTCCCAATAGTTTCCAAATATTTCATGCTGCTTCATTGTTTTTTCGGTGCCTATTTGAGTTCTGTTTTGTAATGATTTCAGTATCTCGACCCCAGCTTTTTACTTGTCATCTCTGTTGGAGATTTGCCAAACCCTACAATACTGCCCATGCAACAGAAAACGCCCTAGTTCGATTTAGCAATCGATTAAAGTGGCACATTGCATCCCTAGAGTACGGCGCTCTTTAAAACGACTGTAGGCGCCATTGTGCTCATGAGGTGCGCTAGAAGATGCACCTGGTGCAGTTTGACAGTTGTCTGACCCTCTGTGCAGGACGCACAATCAACGGACCACATTTGCTAAGGTAACCGCTGGGGAACTCGGGGGCTGAAATGTACATTACTGCAGTGGCGCCGGAGGACGCAAATTAGTCATCGTTATTAGTACCTCACATTATGCCTGGTGTATGGCGCTATTCAAAACGAATGTAGGTGCCATAGTGCTCACGGAGGAAAAAAAAATTTAAGGGGAGTTTGCAAATCTTGAGACGACCGTGCAATTGGTTTACGGCGTTGGTTTTTGTTATATTATTCCCTCAATATAAAATTATAAAAAGGAAGAAGAAAAAGAATGTACTTCGTTTGCTTTTTAATATTGAAAGAAATTTCTGTGGGGAAAAAAAATGTTTTCGGAAAGGAGGCGACGGGAAGCTAAAGTGATATAATTCTAAGAGGGGGAGGAGGCATTACTTTTTGTAAGCAGATTAAGCCTAGAGAGGGGTGTGTAAAGGGAGTAAGTGGTCAAAAAGAAAATTCTTACATTTTTTAAGGATATACATACATTATTGAATAATTAACGCTCTAAAAAGTATAAAGCCTTTAAAGGGGACATAAAAATTCAAGTCTTACATTTTAAGGCTTTTTAAATTTTAGTCTACTGTTATTAGATTTATTAAGGAAACGGTAAGACCATTATGAATAATAGATCTAGCCCTATGTATTATCCGCATGTATTTATCTTTATGTTTTGAAATCTTAATAATCTTCATCTGTTAAGGAATGGAATTGTTTTAGGGAATTTTACTTTGAACTCGGCATCTAGACTGTCCAAGGCCTACAACCACAATAAAAATAAAATATAGGGCCTAAGCAACATCAGAGTACGAAAATAATAGAAGAAATACACAAAGTAAGTTTAGGGCCTAAATCTCTAGATCTAGAATAGATCTAGATCTATATCATCATGTAGATATAGTTCTTTTAGAACTAAACTAAACAGATAGGGCCTATCTAATAGTTCTAATACAAATAATAAATAAAAAATTAAAATGATTGAGTATGGGCTACACTAAAAATACTAAAATAAAATTAAAATAATCTCTGTGTAAATCTGTTCACTAGATCGAATGCAATCTAAAAATACTAGATCTAAATAGTTATCAGGACTGCCCAATTTTTTCGTCTAGGCCATTCAAGGTTTTATGGTGAAATTAAAGTATTATTTCAACACCAACTAGGCGCAGAATTCGAAAATGCTCAAAATGCAGAGCATTCCACACAGGCCTAGTCACTTTGTATAAAAAAATTGTTAGGCTACTTGTAGTATTTGGCTTACTAGATCTAGATCTAGAATTAAATCCAGACTAAGAATATATCAACTATGACCATGGCGGAAAACAGGTTTTGCAGCTGATGGCATGTTCGATCTTTGCCATTTGTAATCTTCTTAACCAGTCATTGTCTTGTGATTTTGTTGATATTAATAGACAGAACTAGATCTGTGTCTTTAGAAGCTTTGTAATTGTATACCGTATTTTTGTGGTATTTGTTTTTTTTAATTTTATGCAGCAGCAAAAAACCCAAACCATGCAAATCATAACAGAAGGGATCTACTTGGATTGTAGAATCTACATGTACTTCTAAAATAATCCAAGGAATTATATAATCTATAATTATTAAATTATTAAGTTCTTTTTACAATTTTTTAACCTTTACTTAAAAAAAAAAGCATTACCTAGGCCTATAGGTTCTATACCTCCCTAATTATCATTACATATAATAATCTTAGAAAATGCCGACTGCAATTAAATTCTTTTTGTGAATAAAAATTGTAGGTTTTTACTTCATACCATGTATTTTAATATCAGTTTAGTGAAATGTGTAAAAGGTATGTTTTACTTTGCTATAGATATATGCCAATTTTGTTTTGCTTAAAGCATTTCTCTGTCATTGAAAATCAATCTTCGCTTATGCACTCACACATTATAAAACATCACCTATCTTTAAAACTAGAGAAGTTTGATTGGATAGTAAAGTTTTTAAATTTAAGTTTACTTTTAAGTTTAAGCCATTGGTTTTTAAAGTAACTAATTTGATAATGTAATTATTTCAAAGTAAAGATTTTCTTTCTGAAATCAGGTTATAGCCTTTGTATGACCTTTGCACAAGTCTGTTTCTTTGAAACTAATATTTCTTTAAATTAAAGCTATTATCAATAAATACTCCCAGTGGTCTGTAAAAAAAACTATACCCACACTATTTTAAATTTATAGTATATATATAATAGCCTATTTACAATTTACATGCATTTTTTAACTATTTACTTATTTATGCACAGTAAACTGCCTATAGAATTAAAATATGAAATAGTAGATCTATAAACCTGGGCTAAATGTTAAATTATTTAGAGTGTGAGTTGAAGCCACTTTATTTAATATTAGATTCTAGCAAGTTACACTCTTTTTAGAATTCACCAATAGTTCATTGAAAATGTTCATTTAAAAAATGTAGGCCTAATTTTTAAAAAGTAAGTTTTTCTTTCAGTAGTCATGTGCAGTCAATAGGGCAGATAAAGTAGAGTGCACCTGTTTCTGTGACCTTTATATATAAAAGGATTGTTAGGTCAGTTTTATTAGTTTTCTTTCCCTAATGTGAGTCAGGTTTTCATCAGAGCGGGTGGATTCACTCACACCCTACAGGCCCGGTATCTGAACTTGAGAAGTTCAGGCTGGCATGCGTGCCCTCTACCTAAACCAGGTCGTCATATATAATTAAAATAATTTTTCAAAACATTTCTTCCAAAGTTATATTAAAAAGGTATGTAAGAAATAACAGAGATAACTTGTATAAATAGCTGTTAAATTAATATTCTATATTGTATTTTTCAGAAAAAAAATTCTGTATAAATATAAACGATGGCCAGACAACTAACAACATCAGTTTCAGATGGTCTTCTGACATGGTCTGTACTTTACTTCATCTACCATGTGTTTTGGGTAAATTTTTTCGCTTGCCTTGGGCTCAGCGTGCAAGGTGCAGCTGCAGCCCTGGGAGTTGTCAGATTTGCTCAGTCACGGATGGAGGGACAGATTTATGATTACCACAAGATGATGTCTTGGCTTGCACAGGTAACTTGACCTCAGCTTTGTTTTTTACTGATTCATGCTGTAACCTATTTAGGTCTAATATTATAACTAACTTGCACAGCTCGTATCTAAGTATAAAATTGTAAATTAATTGTATAATTTTTTTTAGTCTGTTGTTTAAAAAAATGTGACTATCAAATAGATACATTTTTTTCTCTTAGATTGTTGGACTTCCACTGCTTGCTGTTGGTTTTTGCCACAAAGATCTTCCCATAATGATGAACTTAAATCTCATGATAATGATTGGTGTCCTGATCGGGTGCAGATTTTTGGCCCCTGGCATGAGGGAGTTGGCCACACAGAGCTGCTCTGGGTTTGCTATCCTCACCATCATCTTGGTGTCTTTGAGGGCTTGGAACATTTATGGTCTTCTGGCAACAGCTGCTTACGTTGTTTCTGGCAAAGTGGTTGGCTCTGAAGGAAAGATGGGAATGTTTTACAGAGTTGACATCCTTCATGTCGGTCTGACACTTGGTAACATCTTATTCACATGGGCTATGGTGTAACTTCTTAGGCCACATTATTACTTCTACTCCAATTTAGGTATTACAAATTAGATCTTTTAAGATGACCTCTGGTGCTCTTTTTTTTTTAAGCATTTTTGTATTAAAGTTTTCTCTCTTGAACAAGATAGAAGAAACTATTAATGCTGTACATCATCACTTTGATACACATATTTTTTTTTAGTTTTTAAGTTAAGAAAGTTTACAGATAATTGAACAGTTTTTGTTTTGATACCTATTGTTTATACATTTATTTATATCACATATAATTAGTCAACCCTTGTTTTAACATGAATAATTGTAATATAACAAACAACTAAATGCCAGACTGGTAGTGTGAAGTGTTGGTGATGCACTGAGTCTGTAAGCTACTAAAGAAGGTTAATACAATTCCATTGGTAATTGTCTCCTTAGTTAAGTTAGCATTGTCTAAACAGACGTACCAGTACAAACCTAAGTTGTATAGCATCCACACTGTAGGAAATATAATGTATGTATATCAATTTTTTGATACTTTTATATACTAGCCCACATGAATAAAGTTCTGTGGACATTACATAGCATACTAATCACATTACTTAGGGGTTGAGAAACGGTGCATACAGTTTATGTTTTATTTACTGAGTTGTGTGACAATCACTAAAGCTTGGAACTATAGCAAATTTATCTTTTGTTAAATCTTTTAAGTACCATGCACTAAACGTCTAGATGTTAACACAGATTACCATGTCTGATTTAAACATCAATCAAATTAATCTTTTTGTTTAAATAGCTGTTTTGTTTCTATTAAAGATTAGAGTGAAATTTTGCAAAATAACATCATAAAATCTGTGTCTTAAAATTTACTTTTTATTTATTTATGATTGTTAAATTGGAACAAACCTCAGTGTATTTGAACTTAAAATAATTGTATTGCTTTAAATATGAATCTGTTAATGCAGTGTGTAATATAAATTTGATCAAAATGTATTCTATTTACACACAAATTAAAGCCAAAATTTGTACACAGTTTGCTTTTAAATGACTTTGTGTCAGCTTGTGCTTTTTTAGCGGCTAGTTTTCATCTCTCTAAGAATAAAACATTTTAAAATCTGTTTTTCAAGATCAAAATTATATGCAAAATTTAAACAATAAGCAAAAAGTTGTTACATTTTTAAACAAATTTTTCAATACATTTATAAATGTGCTTTAAATTTGTAGAATTTATGCTTTTGTACAATATTAAAAACTGAAAACATTTGTCAAAAAAGCTTGAAAACCTTGTGAAAATAATTCTTCATCTGCATATAAACTGATCATGCATTTACCAGAGAGGCAATACACAATTGCTTTTTTGTGCTGCTTAAAGAAATAAGAAAATATGTATATCTATCAGCACCCGTTTTAAAGAAGCAATGCATTAATAAACATATATTGTGCAATAATTTTATTTTTAGAGTTTTTCTTTTTTACTTTTTTGCATAAGCCTTAGAATACATAAAAAACATAATAAAATGCTTACATCAAGTTGTATTAAGTGATATAACTTGAAAATAGGACTTCCTTCTGGGTGTAATTTGAAACATTGTATGTTTTTTTTTTTTTGTTGCAACAAATTTTGTGTTAATAAATTTATTGCATTGCATTTTTATTTGGTTTCAATTCGAAAAATCAAAACATCATTTTCTGTGTAATTAAAATTTTCCTGCAGTTTTAAAATATTTTACAAGCTGGCTATTTGATACCAACATGTTAAATTTTTATTTAGCATTTAGATTTATAAATTTTACTGAATTAAGAATTCTATTTTATTTGGTGGTATTTTCACCAACTGTATTCACCTTATGATGTATTTACATTTAATTTGTATTGGCAAGTTGTTTTGGAATGTCCAATTCGCTGGTGCAATGAAGGTTTTTAAAGCCTTATTTGCTATGTGCAGCAAGCATAATGAGCTTGTCAACTGGTATATAGTTTAGCAATCATAAAATTCCAACAGCCTTCTGCTGAATAAAATTGCCAAAGAAACATAGCATGAAGTACTTATTTTGTTTGTGTTTTTCTTGTAATAGTGCTTTCAATTTTTAAAAGACACAATAAAAAAAGGCAGAACAACAATCAAACAGTAAAACTAACTTTAAGTAAAATCCAAGTGTTCATTGTAATTTTTGATGACAAAAATGTACATATTGGATAGCAATAATCAACAGAAAAATTACACAATGTAAAAAGAACTATAAACAGAACTACACAAGTAAATGTTTTTGTGATGACATATTTAGTATACCAGGCTCAACATAAAATTTAAGTGAATGCAGGCTGAGTATAAAATATCCCTTGTGGCAAGCTAATGTAGGTTTACACACAGCAACTATCAAACAGACATATTTTAATATATTCCATTTGTATATTTATATTATACTATTTATACATTCAAGAAATAAGATAAAAGATTTTGCAATATCACCTTGACACAAATAAGAAGCAGCATTGTTTACAAAGGGAAAAATATTGGTAATCTAACCTGCTATATCTGTGGGGGAATGCAAGCAAAAATTGGTTCAAATGCAAATAGAAGCAGTTTGGAAAAAACAATAAATTCTTTAAATATAAAAACTTTCAGTATCAAGGATGTATAGCCTTGGCTGAATACTTGGACACCAATTGTAGCTAACTTCAGGTGATAACTGCAGCCATGTGAATACAGAGATATTCTACAAACTGGCCAAAGTCATGATGTTTCATTCAGATTTTACTCTCGAGTTGGCAGCTTATTTTTATGATAACTTGAGTTGCCTAATTTTTATCACCACATATATTATGACTTGAAATTATTTGGAATTTTAACAGAAAGATATTTACAATTATAAATTAATGAGGCAATAAATAAGATATTACATCACATGAAAAAAGAGTTTAAGACAAGATTTAGTTTATGATTTTACAAAATGTTAACACTCCATAACATAAAGTTATAAATAAATTATCCTTGCTAATTTTTTACAGCTGTCACTCACATTAACAACATTAGATTAAAATAACTATTTGCATTTCTAAACCAGATGTGGTTATTCAATTAAAAAACTGACAATTACAGCTACAGTACTTAATTACTACTGACATGTTGAAATTTGTCTTTTTTCCTATTGCCAAACCATATTTTAAACAGGCCATTTGTTTCTAATTACAAAATAGGATATATATTTCAACTTTGTTATGTAGTGTGGATGTACTTTTTTTCATTTTTATTAAAGGTCACCACAAAGTTTTGTCTATTTATTAAAAATAATAGTGCCAAAAGCAATGAGCTAATGTTGTTTGGCAGTGCATGACTATGTTAGAAAAGAACCCAGACTTTGTTTAAACTAAACAAAATAAAATACCCCTGATTTTGTAATGCAGCCTTTGCCCTCCCCTTTCACATGATGGCTAGAAGTTTAAAAACCAAAGGCTGACAAAAAAAGTTATCAGCTATTTTGCAAAATGATGATAACCTTTAACTTAAAATGACAAAAAAAATTATTTTATAAAGTAACCTAGATTAGCTGTTTAAATTTTCCATGATGTTTTTTAAATATTTTTAAAAACATTTCTAAATATTTAACGATTTAAATCGCTTTGTAAAATTTAAATTATAAAGTGTATCTCAATGCATTTGATGGAGGGGCTGTACTGTGATATTTTTTTATTACTTATAGGATAAAAAAGTAAAATCTTATCTATTTCTTAAAATAATTTAAAATTCCTAGTTGGGGCCTATCCCTGATAAATAATGAGGCAGTGTAAGAATACAGCAGGCTCTTCCATAAACTCTGTTTGAAAATTTATCTACTATTGTCATAACATCTTTAGCTGGGTCATATTCCTGAAGTAGGTCTGAGTAGTAATGTTCCCCATTTATGCCACCAACAATGTAAATCTTGTTATTTAGTGTTGAAGCGCCAGCTTCTCTGATGTTACAAGTGGTTTTACAAATAGACCACTGATCTGTTTCTGGGTTGTAAAACTCCATAGCAATTATTGGCACTGGGAAGCCATAGCTATCCTCTATGTTTCCTCCAATAACATAAAGCATATTCTGTACCTAGAGTTAAGAAAAAATAATTATTCTAAAAATACAAGATAGATTTTTAAATTTATGAAGTTATTAACTGATGGTAAACGTTAGTTTCTTGCATTGATTCTGTAGGACTTATCTGGGTACATCAATGCTGTGGATATCCAAACTGAGTTTTGGAAGGCTATGACAGAACAGCTAACCATATAATTGAGATGAACGCTACTTTTTTAAAATTATAGACCTCTGGTCAGAAAGGTACTTGTTTTAGTCATATGCTATTTAAATTTTCAAATCAAGATAATAAATCATTATAAGTAGGTACTCCAAACTGCCGAAAATCGAGGTTTCGGCTCATTTTCTTTACTTTTTCACTACTTTCCATCACAAAGTTCCCCCATAAAAATTAAGCGTATACTAATAAAAATGGTATGGTTAGAACGCTTAACTTAAGCTCTACAATAATGTGTTGTTTGTTTTTATATTGGTAAAGGAAGAATACATGTTTTTGTAGCTTGAAAAACATCACCGCAACGATTTTTATCGGCAAAATGACAGACCCGTTTTTACCCCTATCGCATTCTGACGCTTTGCGCTTCGGCGCCATGTGACGTATGAATTCTAAACATAGCTTATCGTACGCAGGATTGAATGACCTTTAGTCTCGTATAAAATGTTAACAAATTATTTTAGTAAAAACGGCTAATAAGATTAGCATAAAATTCTAGATATTATTTTTTTAATAATATACCTCCATCATGACATGATTACAGCGCCCATTTAACATTGGGGCTTTTTCCTCCCAGATGTTTAATGCTGGAGAATAGCAGCTCATGTTGTTAGCACAGCCTGAAAATCTTTGACCTCCTGATATATAAATTTTATCCCGACACACTGCGCCTGCATGTCCATAACAGGAGTGGCTGCACAATGAAAGTTATAAAAATGAATTTGGTTCTAAAGTAAAAAATATAGAATACATTTCAATACATTTTTCTCAACATATGTCGATGCACACTGGACATAAATTTACAACTTCTGACTTGCATTAACTACTCTTTGAAATATTTGAATTAAAAAATAAGAGTTTTGTTAAAATTTGACTTTTAAAAATTGTGCTCAAAGGACACTGCACACCTTATAGAAGCACACATGTCCCAATCTTCAGTGGCCACTGTATAACATTCAACAGTACACATCACCATATTTTCATCTTGGCCACCAACTGCATACAGCTTCCCATTGTAAGCCACAACCACAAAGTCTTTCCTGGCTTCATTCATTGAAGTCAGCTCATACCAGATGTCAAATCTGTCACAAAAATAAATTTTTAAATACATTTTAAGATAAACTAAACAATAGTGTAAACATTATTTCAGTGTGATGTTAAATTAATTAAAGATCAATTATTTTTTTTTATTTTCTATAATACTACAATTTTCAAGGTTGATTAGGCCAGTGTTATGATAACAGTTCTACTTGCAAAAATTAGGCTCCAATGTGAATTTGGGCCAGGGTTAGGGTGACAAGCAAAAAATAGGCAACTTGGGCCAGGGTTTGTAAATATGTTTACAAAAAAAATTGTGTTATGGTATACCTTGGATCATATCTAAAGCAACGAGCTGTAGCGATTTCATTGTTTTCAGTGCTGTCATATTTGCCACCACAAGCATACATGAAATTGTCGAGCACAGCCACACTGGGATTAAACAGGGGCATGGGTGCATCCCTCAAGAAGCCATGATTCTTGTTATGGAATGTGTAGCATTCCAGATTTTGGGCATGTGACATGACGATGCTGGGGTGGTTTGATCGAACTTGTGTACGGGAGGTCTGTAGCATGGGCTGTTTGCCAATTACTATATGGTAGTCTTTGGCTTGTGTTAATAGGTCACTGCACTCCTGGTTACTTCTCATCATATCCACTTTACTAACCTGAATAAAAATGTCATCCATTAATACATTTCTGTGGGATGATACAGCTTATTTTCTATATAGAGTAGGCCTTGACCCTACATTACAAATATATTTATTACTTATATTGAAGATTAGTAACATTGTAATATATCTTTACTTAATAAGATTAAGATCATTATAAAGCACTGACAATATCAATTTAAAATAAACATCATCAGAAAGGGTTTGTATGATTGATAGGAGGCCCAACAAAATGCTTTGATAAATGAAACTGAAATAAAACTAACTTTTTCCACTAATTCTTCTCCTGCTAACAAAGGGAGACGTATGTTTCTCATAAGTTCAGCCAGATACTGTAGTCTATCATCTTTGTCGTGGTCAATCCATTGCAGGACAGTTTTAAAAAGATGAAATTCGGATGGCACTCTTAGGCTGTTATCTTTTAACATGGTTGCCAGCTGAGTGTGGGTTAATTTGTTGAACTGTTCGGATGAGCTTACAATCTAAGATTTTTTTAAATGTATTAAAATTAGAGCTTTTAAAATCAAAACAAACATTAACCTAAAAACAGTGGATATATTTAAACAAATGAAAGGTAAATAATTAGTACTAAATTATCCCATAAGATCGGGCTGGCAGTGGAGTAAATGAACTCTGCAGGATTGTGGGCAGCTCTATGCCTAATTGCCTTTACTTTCCCAGACTCCAATTGGTAACCATTAAATAAGGGTGGACTGAAGTACATCTTACAGCTTTGATTCTAGGAACTGAGTTCTGACTTTCAACTAGTGGAGTTTGAATTCAATAATACTTGACCATGCTGCCCCAAACAAATTTAAAAAAAAAAACCACACTTCTCACCTCAAAATTATCCATCATGTACTGTAAAGCTTTAGTCTGTGTAGAAGCAAGTGAGTACATCTGTGCTAGGTTCAAAATGTCTGTACAATTGTAGTTTGTCAAAGCCATTTCCAAGTATTTACTGCATAGTTCCACTGCCACACTTACCTTGATTTTAAATTTAAAGTCAACAAATAGGGTTATTAAGTTTGTGTTGCAATGTTAAGTTATTATTTTCACAGAAATGTATGACTTTAAAAAAAAAAAGGCAGTTGGTTAATATATAGCAAATAATCAAAGTATAAAATCTACTTTTAGTTAATAATTCCATACCTGCAGATGTGATGCAGCAGACAACACCTCCTGAACATTATCTGTAGTAAGTTCAAGACGCCCGGTATATGCAAAATCTACAACCACTTTCAAACCACCAGCTGTAACACCTTTCAGCTCTACAAACTCCTCCCGGCTCTCTTTCATGAAACCTGTCAGCATTACTCTGAAATAATCGCTGCAAGCTGCCATTACTGCACGATGAACAGCAATTTTCTAAAACAAAGAAAGTTTATACAATTAGGACACTTTTTATAAAAATAATCACTTAATTGAAGGTTATATAATTTAGAGGATTGCTGCAAATGTGGGAGGATTTGTAAGGCTAACCAACATTTCTACAGATATTTCATTTAATAATGTATTTTGCAGAATCTAGAGAATTCTGTTCAGACAACTTAACCCAAGTAACTTTTACATGCTAGGTAATTTATTCATAAATGAAGGATATTAAAATATAAACAAATACACACAAAAACTTTAAATAACCTGTCCATCAGCAATCAATGTATAGTCACAAAGTGTATTTGATTTTCTAAGCTCTTGTAAACCGTGGAGCAACGCACAACAATGGTTTTCTGTTGAAGATGGCATATAACTGGAAACAACTTTTTCACTTGAGGCAAAGGATGGGCCTGGCACGTCATCATCAGTAGCCAACACAGAAAATTCTGTACATGAAATATAGTTAATACAACCAAATAGTATGAAAAAAGGATGTAAAATTTTACATAAAAAACCTATCTGTAATAATTAAGAGTAGAAGAAAAAACCAAACCTGATGGAGGGAAATCTCTTGCCTGTACCATACTATCACATGTGTTGTCTAGAAAACGCAGTCTAGATGCTTGGGTAGTACGGGACACATATGGTGTCAAATGTTTTTTAGGGGACAATGGCATGTTTGATGGATAAGCCTAATTTAAAAAAAACAAAGAAGTGTTTTAGCATTAGCAATACAGGTTTTGTTTAAAGTCACATTATGGTTTAGTAGGGAACTTTTTCTTTTTGAAATAGACAAAGGACATTATTAACTCCATCCACACATAGAATATTTGTAGTTTCTAGCAACCCTCTCCTATACCCCACTCCACAATGAAAAAAAAAAAAACTTTATATAGGCAAAGATCTATTTGTCCTTTCTGTATTTTTGAAAGAACTATTTTCCCCTAATAATAGTCTTTTTATTCTTCTTCTTTCCCTTTTTTAAACTCCCAGTTATGCATAGACATCTTGAGACCTTCGGGTTAGCAGTTACTGCTAAGCCATATGCCTTCCCTTTGTCACATGGTTTAAAAAAATAATTTTAGAGCCTATTTATACCAGTATAATAGAATCTTCTTTAAAAAAAAAGGGGTTTTAGGTTACTCAACTGGTAGTTAACTAAATACTACATATGACTTGCTAATGTCAATGCTAATCCTATCCCCAATTCTATTCGCAACCATACACCTAACCCTAATTAATTTCTATCCATAAAACAAGACAAGATTACAATACTACTACTAATAACCTAACACACCTATTTTCAAATGAGTCTATTATTGGACATTGGTATCTACAAATTTACTATAATCATCTTCTTTACATTTGCAATGAATAGGCCTATAATATTAAATAATATTATTAACAGATTTTAAAAAATTGTAATTTCTGAATCGTTTCAGGCTTTTTTTTTTTGAAGTGACTACAAAAAAGATCAAAGTTTCACTTTATTTATAAGGTAATTTTCTCAATGGCTTGCCCGACAATGCGACAACACCTGTGGTATGGATGGGCCCCGTTCGAACCCCCCCCCCCCCCCACTGAATGCCACTGTCTGTACGGTAAGAAAGGACTTGGGGTCATTTTGGAAATTATTTCTACAGTAGAAAAGGGCCAAGGCTTTCCCAGCCTGTTGGGAATAGCCGTATTGGGGCTATTCCCAGCCGACTGTGAATAGCCCCAATAAGACTATTCACAGTCGTCTGTCATTTCATGCTAAATACGACTGTGGATAATATCTTAAAATAATAAAAGCATTTATTGTGGCTGGGGAGTAAGGTATTGATTAAGAGAGCAGTGCTATTTTTATTTTGTTATATTTTTATAAAAAAGTTATTACGGTTAAAGTTTAGTTTAGCTTTTAGGCTCATATCAGACATATCTGCTACAGGCTACGTCTACGTAGGTCATAGATGATCAATTATGCACTCTAAATCTATACATATACACTAGAATAATAGATCTAGTAATTTTTAAATAAATAATACTAATTAAGCATCAGTTTAGTTGGTTGTTCACATTGCTATTCAACTATCAATTATCATTAAAAATTCACATTATCACATAGAATAAATATCAGGTGAAATAGGATGTCCTTTTTCATCAGCTATAATTCACAGTTTCCATCACACTTTTGTGTTTTTTCTCTTAGCAAAAATCTACGGGACAGGTCTTTTTTTTTTTTGCTGATATGCCAACAATTACGTCACAAAAGAAAAAAAAAATTTAAAAAAATAAACTTTCCATGAGTAACTCAAGTAACTGTGAAAAAATATTTTGATAATAAGATTAAGAGGCATACATTAAGAGTCATAGCAATAAGCATCTGATGGGTTTGAACCTGCACCTTCTGGCTCGACAGCCACTCCCCATGTCCGCTCGACCACACATCTTCAAGCCAAGATAAGTATTTTTAACATTAAATCTAGCAAAAACTGTCACGACTGTGAATAGCCCCAATACAGCTATTCACAGTTGACTGTGAATAGACACTTCGTTAAATCTATCAAAAACGGTCATGACTGTAAATAGACACTTCAGTAAAAAAGAAACTGGATTTCCTTTTTCTTTGAAAAATTTTACAAATATTAAAAATTAAAATTCCAATGGCCCCTATTTTCCTTGGGCCCCTATGCCTTGCTTACGTTTAATTAAGCCATTAAGCTTTACAGCACTGACTCAAGTCAAATCATCAATTAGGCCTAAAACTAATGACAATTATCATGAATTTGAATTATCAATCAATCACATTCACAAGTGCCACTCTTGTGGACTCTACTCTTGGACAGTAATAAGTAATAATTCTTCTTACTTTTATTTTTACTAACCTACTAAAATTACTAAACTCAGTATATTATACTGAGTATAAAGTTAAATGATAAATCAGATGATTAAATCCAACATCTCCGACATCTAGATTCTAGATCTAACTACAACTAGAGTAGATTTCCTAACGCGGTCACACATAGCAAAAAAATCCGAACTCCCGATTTTCATCGGGCGCTATTTTGTACCCGTTTCACACAGAAACAAACTGAAAGTACCGTGTTATTCCGCCGCCATTCTACTCTAATATTTATAAATCATTTTGTATTCCTACGCATAGTATTTGAGATATTCATGTTTTAGTGACGCGCCTGCTTGCGATCTTTTTTTCCCCTTTTTTTCTTGCCGGCGGTCACATTTTCCTGTTGCGTAACAAGCGTAGTTTTTTACGTTTTGATCCAATTTTAAAAGCTAAAATAAATAATTTACACTTTTAAACGTGTTGTTGATTGTATTATTAATTAATAGACTGCAAAACCAAATAAAAAACACTTTAATTAAATTTATTAACAACACATCACGGATGACCCAGTGATAACTCAAGGGACACAATTTTAATAATCATAACAAAGGGACGTAACAATTACTAACAAGACAAAACCTAACATTTGCTTAAATATGCTTGTATATGGAGACACAAACTAGTTCTAGAAGAAGTAGATGATCGAAATAATTTAAAACCACAGAATAATGTATAAACTATACAGATTCTAGACTTAGCTTGAAATATAGAGCATCTAGATCTAGGCTAGTCTAGCTCAAGTCATTGGTTACGCAGCGAGGAAAACGACCCGAATCGTCAGCCCAGCTGCGATCACCCCCATTTGACCTCTCAGGTTGCTTTAGTAGCCTTAGCTATAGTATTTACAGTGTCCCACACATATGTAGAAGCTATTTATAGTTAACCTAATTATAAACAGCTTTGATTGGTTAGTTTTATTCATCTCATCCCGGACCTAGTGCTTTCATCCGGGGGAACTGGGATCACCGGCTGACGTCATACCTCAACTTAAAAATTTAAAAACTTGTCTTCCAGAAGGAGAAAACAAAAGAATTTGACCTGGATATATTTAGAAATGGACATGCTTACAGCAGATACCGGTAGTTTCGTATAAAGCATCCAAACAATTATTTTACGAAGCGAAAACGGGAATGTGATCGCAATATGGCTTTGACCGCGTGAGGAAATCTACTCTAGATCTAGATCTAGTCTACTACTAAGTCTAGATCTAGATCTAGAATGATAGAATCTAGTCAATCTGAATCTAGATCTAAAATTTGTAGAATCTAGAATAATCTAGATCTAGATCTAGTAGTCTCTAGAGCACTCTAGTCTAGAGTCTAGACTAGACTAGTCTCTAGAGCTAGAGTCCCTCTACTCTAGAGCTAGACTCTAGCTAGATTCTAGATTAGATAGAATGATTATGATAGTATGATTGATAGACTTTCAGTAGATGTTTACTAGATTCTAGTTCATAGTAGTAGTCTAAGACAGTAGTAGTAAGTAGTAAGTAGTAGTAGTAGTAGTTCTAGTTAATTCATCTAGTAGAATAGGGTACCTTCTAGTAAAAAGTTCTAGTTTTTCGATGATACGACTTAACAATGTTTTTTACTCTTTTAAAATTAATCTAAATCTAGATATCTGGAACTAGATTTAGATCTAGATCTAGATCTACATTCATATTATTTATTTTATCAATTTTTTAGGCGTCTAGAGTCTAGAGTTTGGTACTGAATGTGTCCCCTGGTCTGGTTCATAACAGAAATTATATCATTAGCAGAGTGCTAAGACTGCCTTAAGTTTTACTTCCAGGATTCAGCTTTAAAGCAGTCTAGATACTATCACGTTTCGAAGCCGGGAGACGTTTTTTACCCTACATAAAACTTAAAAGGCTGCCGAGAAAAAAAAAACCGGCGATTGTCTGGAAACTAATATATTTAGAACATTTTTATCCAACTCTACCCTAAAATAACGTTTAAATATTGTCAAAAGACTCCATAATCCTTATTACATCACGTAACCAGCCACTTCAAATAAAAGTCTACCGCCCCCCCCCTCCTCGCCGAACGAGCTAGATTTAATTATTCGACGACTTCGGCCAACATCCAAAGATTTGTTTATTGTTTTTCAAGTTGGTATCACCATATCATGTATTTAACAGAATTTAACTACTGACCTACTCATTATTATGTTATTAAACCAACATGTTAGTAACATGTTACTTAAAAAGCAAGGGGTCATCCATAAACGATGTCACGCTTTTTTGACGAATTTTACCTCTCCCTACCCTTCGTCAAACATCGTCAAAAAAAGCCAGTCCCCCCCCCCCCCCACCACCACACCTAGATCTAAATAACGTCATACCTCAGCCTAAACCCCATTTAAAATTGCAGTTAAAATTTTCTTAAAATACGATATTTTTCTAAAATTTTGTCTGAACTCTGTCAACATAAAGTATTTTAATCAATTCCTATTACAATTTATTAAAACCATTTTCTAAAACGCGAAATAACGGCTAAAATTAGTAACATAGCTTTATTTTAATAATGCAAAAGTGTGACGTCATACCATCTGAACCTCCCCTCCCCTCATCACACACCGTCACAAAATTACGGACCCCCTCCCCCTACGAGTGTGACGTCATTTATGGACGACCCCCCCCCCCCCCCCCAACCCCTATCTGCAGAGGAAGGGTTAAACTCAACTAGTGCGGCCAATAAAATGATAATAATTATCGTCTATAAATAATTATCATTTACAATATTTACATAGGGGTAGCATGATGTGGTGTGCTGGTTTCTATTATTTTTCCATGTTACCCCCCCCCACACACACACACACACATACACGCGCGCGCGCGTTGCAAAGACAACCTAGAAGAAATTCGGGGAATTCTTGCATCAGTTGATTTTGTAGGCGTGTCCTTACAATCAAATGTTGACCCGGAAGTAACCTTATTTTACCTTCTTTTTGTATACGAAGCATGTCCTATATATTTATTTCTAATCTGTACTACTACTACTAGTGTACTAGTCTACATTCTAGGCCCCAGGCTTAACTTGAAATTAAAGTTTTAAAGACTTAAGCTAAAGTAACATAGCCAGAATGAAATTAAGATGCCTGTCTTACACTACTGAATAAAACAACTGTTTTTTATCGGACTTATAAGTTTAAATTTGTGTTGCGTACTGAATTTTAAAATAAACAGCCAAACTTAAAGACATTGAGTTGAGTAAAGTAAATAATATCAGTAATAAAAGAAAAAGATGTCAAGATCGTCAATTTCAAGATTATTTTTCAGTTTACAGTTACATCATAACGTCTTACCTTGTTCAGGTTCTTGGAACAATATATATTCATATACTTCAAAGTATGGTCTTTTGAATGCAAGATGTTGGAAACTTTTAAATTTTCCTGCAATCAGTATGCATTTTTCTTGCAGTAGTTACAATTTGAATAAGTATTCACAAATAACATTGTTTAATCATGGGTCATCATACTCACATCCTACATTTGAGAAACTGAATAATGTGAATATGCATTCAAATTTAGGTCTAGTTTTCAAACAATGTAGGTACATGGGTATCCAGAATAATAAAGTGAATAGAAGAGTGACAAGAACAACAAATCCCAATATTAGACAGCTGAATGAAAAGAAAGATATTGGCAATCAGGATGATGAACAAAAACAAAATGAGTTGAAAACATCTTCAGAATCAGCAAGCAGTGCATCAAGTGAGAATGTAGAGCAAACAGAAAAGTTATCACTTTATCAAAGATTCAAAAAAACATATAAAGAACATGGCAAAGTGTTGGTTGGTGTACACCTTGTTACATCAGCTGCATGGTTTGGAACATTTTATTTAATGGCAAGCAGGCAAGTTTAGTGGACACTTAAAAGTTAGAATCCACCACTTCTATAAAAAAAAAAAAAGTCACTATACACTACATTGATGCCCAGCAGTAGCTTCCCTTACCACAAAATAGCCAATCTTAACTATATATATATATATATATATATATATATATATATATATATATATATATATATATATATATATATATATATATATATATATATATATATATATATATAAGCATTACTTAATAAATGTTAGCAAATGTCATGTTTTGAAGATGATATCCCAATGATGTTTCTTTTCTTATGTTCTTACATTATTATTATTGTGTAAACAATATTTTTCAGCGGATTGGACATAGTTCCTTATCTTGAGGAATGGAATTTTAGTGAAAAAATCATTTCACCTTTTCGATCAGGTGGTCTTGGTCATGTAGCAGTTGCTTACCTAATGTATAAATTAGCAACACCTGCAAGATATACTGTAACAATTGGAGGAACCAACCTTGTTATAAGGTAGTTAAGTCTTTTTTCAACATTAAAATATACAAATATTGAGAGGAAAGACATGTTTAATATTTCATTAAAATTGATGTGAAACTATTTATTCTTTTACTTTTAGATACCTAAAAAAAGAGGGTAAAATGAAAGCAGTTCCTAAAGAAGACACTTTAACATCTCTTTATAAAGAAGGAAAAGAGAAGTTAAAGAAAAAGTCTACGGTCAGCATGAGAAAGTTGCGTAGGAGAAACAGACCCAAGTAAACATGTATTATGCAATATTTTGGAATATAAAATTGATATAGCTTTAAGAAATATATTCCCCACAACATTCTCTTATTAGTTTCTATCTATGTAATTGTAAAATAAATCGGCCTTGTGGCAAGTGCTCTCTGTGTTAATCATATTAAGCTAATGTATGCTAAAAAGGTCATCCATAAACGATGTCACACATTTAAAAACAAGTTTTACGTACTGTCCCACCCCATCACTACACATTGACACAAAAAAAACCAGCCCCCCCCCCCCCCCCCCAAAAAAAAAAAATTGACATCACACCTCACCCAGCCAGCTACCTTCCTCTTTTTTTAAACTGCTATACTGATCAAATTTATCACAATTTACAAAAAAGTCTTTTAAAAATGTGATTTACAGCTAAATTTCAGTTTCAAAGATTACTTGTTAAAATCTAAAAGTGTGTCCTCACACTTTCTGACCATTACCCCCCTTGTAGCACAACTTCTGTTTAAGTCCAGACCCCCCTCCTTCCCCCGAGTAGTGTGATGTGATTTATGGATGACCCCAAATCTTAATACATTTTAACCTCTTTTATTAATTAAATAAATAAAATCTTTTAAATTAAATAGGTTGATGTTATTGTTCATAATAACACTTTTAGTTTTATGTGATTAAAATTAGAAAAGATTTTTTTTTTAAATATTTGGTTTATTTGCTTATGTATCTGTATATACATAAAATATGTATTTATTAGCTAGTAATACATTTTATATAATACTGCCACCTGTATTCAGAAACTCTATGATCCAAATATTACCTGAATTTTAGAAAAGTGTGGCATTAAACTGAGTGGGCCTATATCTTTTTATTGGTTAGTTGTTTTATTTTTTAATACTAATTTAATATAATTACCAAATGATTAGATTTTAATTATTTAAAAAAGTAATGAAATATTACAAACAGAGTTTGTTAAAGTTCAAATATTTTAGGTAATAACATATTACAGTAAAATGTATTTAAAAAATAAAAGTTTTATTTAAAAAAATGAACAAAAGTTATTTTTGATGAAGTAATAATATTCAAGAACATATTAGCTTGTTATAATAGAAATAATAAAAAAGATTTTGTTTAATTTTGTTAAAAAGTAGCCTATTTTATACTTTCATTATTTCAACTATTTATTTTAAAAAAATTCATATTTAAGTTTAGCAATCATTTTATTAGAATTTTAAACTTTTGGTAATAAGTTTAATTCAATTTAATGCAAGTCTAATAGATTAAGTGTAGCTTAAATAGTCGCACTGTAAAAATAAAATGCAATACTTTTCCTTTGGTACAATCATTTTTCTACTGCTGATGTTGTTATTTATAAGAGTAAATTCTAATGGTATATTATGTTTGTTATGTCTTTTCTGTGTAACAGTTTTAAAAAAAATGTTTTAATAATTTACCTTGGTTTAAAAAATTAAATCATTGGTGTCTGTGATCAGCCATAAATAATATCCCACACCATCTACCATACATGGTTGAGGTACCAACAAAAGTTTTCTTATACCTGAAAGTCAGACGTTTTTAATAAGGAGGCTAGATTTACAAAGAAGATAATAAGTGATTTTTATGTGAAGGGTAGATTTGTTGACAAAGAAAGTTTTTTATTTTTATGGATTTTGTATTGCATTTTTTAAATGTGGGGTAAATCTACAGCATCTAGCCGAAATTCCCTTTATAACTCCTGATAGATATGGATTGGCTTTATTTATGCCCTTTGATGAATGTGATGTCAATAAGTATTCTATGTATAAGGAACACTTAGTATAACTAAATCTAAATACAATTTTGCAATTATCTTCTGCATTGTTATATTAAATATTTGTTGATTCTTTTGTTTTTTATTTATTATGTTGTTTATAGATCTGTAATGTAATTCTAGCTTCATTAGGTGACAAAGGCTTACTGAAGGCTCACTCTCTATATAAATTTGTTTAGTAGGGAAATCTTCAAAATATGGCTTTTGTGTCTGTCTGCAAACACAAAAAAAAGTTTCTGAGTATTCAGAAATGTTTAATTTAACAGTATAACATAACAATAGCAAATTGTCTGTTGTAACAGAATTAATATTGTTTTATTTTTCTTACTATTCCTTTTCTTACACATTAGAGACTTTAGGAAAGCTTACAACTATTAAAGCTCTGGAATTCTGGTTATATTTTTGTATAATGATATAGCAAAAATAAACACCAATCTTTAAAAAAAAAATCTTTTAATGTCTATAAATATAAAGACAATTTATCCCTTAAAAGCTGTTCCATTTTACAGTGTCACGCCACATAAGCAACTTAATGGGGAAAACAGAGAGGCACTGATTCATTAAAGAAAGACCACATCAAATGTGTTGATTTTTCACTGAACACAAGTATCAAAGAATGGAAGACTGTCATGAAAAAACTTAACCCTGTTTTTTTTTTTAAAAAAAGACAAAATTTTTAAAAATTGGCATTAAACATTTCAGCTATGTTATTCAAATGGAAACTTCATTCACATTCATCTATGTAGCATTAAATACTTAAATGTTAGACTCCATGAATGAAATGCCTTTGGTATAGAAAGAAGCTTGAAGAAGCAGAGCCACTTCTCACTGGCACAATAATAGCTAAAAAACCTGAAAACAGTTTTATAAAAGAAGGCTGATGGTGAGGAATGATTCTTTTGTTGTTGAAAAATTAATGGTACCTGTACAAAATTAACTAAACACCCTGCCATATATTATTATATATAATATAACTGTCACCTCCATTTATATATATAGACCTATATACATACATATATATATCATATGTAGGGGCGTAATCAAGTTTGGTTGTTTGTTAATTATTACATTCATAAAAATTCTCTAAAACTCCACACAACAGGATCCTTCTATACAGCTGGTAGATTAAGAACAATGTTGTTATTAGGGTTACAATTAATTGTTGGGAGTTGTAGGCAAAAATGATTACGTGGGGGAGGAATATATATTTGCTATATATCATTAACGAGGGGACACTACAGACAAGACCACGTTTATGTAACTGATGAATGTTGATTTTTTTCATTCTTATTTTTGCATGAAATTTGAGCCAGGCTTTTATAAATATATATATTTATAAAAACCTTGCTCGAATTTCAGATATATACATATATACAACAAATACAGGCCTATTCTACTTTTTGCACAAGACTAGGCTTCACAATTTTGTTGTTAGTGTTACTCAAAACGAAACATAATCTATATAAAATATTTTTTATTCCCATAATTTATTATTTAAAATATAATATAAAAAGTACCAGTGTTGTGAGGTGAGTGCCCTATGAATGTTATGTAATAGGCTATGTGCAGCTGTGCTCTATGAACATTTTAATTTACAACTTATAATGTTATTTGGAGTAGGCTGGCCTTTATTGACAATTCTAGATCTAAGTATTGTGAGTGTGTGTGAATAGTTACTTTTCTTAGTTTGTTGTTAACCAATGCGTTTATTATTATCATTAAAAGTAAAGACGGCGAGGAACAAGTGAACTCTACTTCACTTGCCCAATTGCAGGTTCTAAAGGGAACTTTATTTTTTAACATCCTGCTCTGCTTTGTGCTTGTTTTTCCCACGAGCAATCCCAATCCTCCAATAGTCTGTTAGACTATGAGTATAAAGCAGAGGCGTATCCAGGTTTTCGTTGTAGGGGGAGCGAAAAGATAAAAAAAAGTCGCCGAATTTTTAACACGTTCTATATACGTGTATTATATATATATATAAAATTACTAGCTGTACGTCATTACTTCGCTATGAAGTAAAATAATTGAAAGTAGCACTCTGAAGAAATAAGACAAAACACACAAATTTTTATCAATCTAAACAAAAATATATAGATCTATATATACACACACTACAACCAAAAACAACGAACGTTACACAATCTGTTTTGTAATTCTTGCAAAAAAATTTCTTACATAATAATTCCTGGGAAATTATTTAAGACAAGTGAATTAGGGGAAATAATCACTCTCTTAATATAAATATGTAGGCCTATATATCTACACATTTAATTATAAATGTCAAAACAAAAAAATAATTACTTTCGAATATAATGAAATTATTTAGCAATATTCGTGTTTACAAAATGTTTTTGTCTATAATCAGAATTTAATATGTCGTCATTATAAATGCTAAAGTATTACAACATAATGAAAGTTTTTAAAATCAGAGTTGGTATAAAAACACGCTTTTCGATCTATTAGTAGTATTAGAAACCCACTAGGAACAACAGCCTACATTTAGCTAAATATCGGTGTTTTAGTTCCGATCATATATTTTAATTAACTACTGCTTCTTTGTGTTCTTATGGGTTAGATCACTGTATTGAACACACACCTTTTAACTGGTATTTTACTGGTAATTGCAAAAACAATATTCCCAGAGTTATACGTTTAAAAAGCTAATTTTCTGGCGGCATGGTACTTTGGTACATCATTACGCGTCTTTCTACATGTACTTAACTGATCAGTTCGGGGTGGGTTGGGGGGTGGGTGGTGGGTTCAACTTTATTCACCTCTGTCCGTTCACTTTAGGTCAATTATCCAACCCAGTGTATACCTAGGTGTGACATTAATGTCACTCTACACAATAATGTGAGGTGTGTGTGTGGGGGGGGGGGGGGGGGTAACCAACTCAGTGAACATAATGTCACTTTTTAGATGACTGTTCTAAACATACATATATATATTACACAAATATATATTACACAAACAGTGGCGTAGCGAGGTCGGGTGTCACCCGGTGCGGCACTTATTGGTGTCACCCCCCCCAGAGGCATAGAAACCCTTCCCAGGGACACACTTTCAAACTTTCGATTTGCACCCCCCCCCCCTCAAACTTTCGATTTGCACCCCACCCCCTCAAGTTTTCGATTTGCACCCCCCCCCCCTCAAACTTTCGATTTGCACCCCCCCCTCGAGTTTTTCTCTATATATTTTGGTATTTTTTGCCTTGGTGTCACCCCCCTAAATGGTGTCACCCGGTGCGGTCCGCACCCCCCGCCCCCCCCCCCCTCGCTACGCCCCTGTACACAAATATATATTACAGAAATAGATTTAAATAAGTAGCAGTGGTATTATGACAATATTTTTTTACAGAGGGGTCCATGGGGGAGGGGGTTGTAACTGTTTCATATAATTTGTAATCGTAATCACTATCGCCCAAACTGTAAGAATACTACTACTTCATCGTGATGACGTTGTCGACCT